AATATTTAGCCTACTAGTATTAACTTATTTTTGTATAAGCCCGATTATATTTTTCTGGTTTAATTTAATAATTTTGAATCTTTTGAAGTATGGTTTTAAATGCATAAAGTCCTAAATATGCATATTTATAGTTAAAAAAAAAATGTAAATTTACGGGCAATACATTGAAATTCTTTAACTAATAAACAATGTGCATATCGAATCTTAAAGTATCTATAGCATTGATATTATTTATTTGATAAATAAATAAATATCAAATGCTTTTTTAACGAATCTAAAAATGGATATAAATTATCTGTGCAAATGATATAGTATAGGAAATTTCTATTCACTTATATAAATGAATACTATACTCATTTGATATTGAATGTTCTAAAAAAATTGAATAGATATAAACTAAATTTGTTAAACTGTAGATACAATTTTTTATATATAATGTAAATTATTATATATTTTTTATTGATTCAATTTTTATATCTACATATATTAAAAGAGGTTGATGGAATAATCTAAAATAGTAACTTTGACTTTATGATTAAATCGGTTGACTTACTATTAAATGAAATGATAGTAAAAATTACTTTAATATTGACAGAAAAATTAAAATTAAATTATACCTACATGTTGTAAATTGTTCAATCCGGTTCATAGCACGACTTTCTATGTAAATAAAGTGGTATCATTTTGAAATTAATTTTGTGATAATTATTGCAGTAAAAAATGAATTCTTCATATTAATCACGAATCACTGCAATTTCTTATTTTTTTGGTAACCAACTATACAACATGTCTTCAAAAAACGTCTATTAAATATATTCCATTTTTAGAAAATATTATTTGAATATGCACGATAAGATTGCAAATATGATTACAAAATAAAAATTGATAATCAATTATGGAAATTTTATTATAATATTTATCACAATGTTACAATTGAATCTTATTTATCAACATTAATAACAAATTACGGTGATTTCTTATTCATTTGGTATCAGCCATATACTGATATATTCTTTTTTATCATAGTTCAAAAAATTATTCAATTGAGATGATTAGTTTAGAATCTTTTGTTTATCAATAATACAACTATTTAGTTTTTTCAGGAATTATATACCCAATTTTCAAATATATCAAGAAAAATTTAACTATTTATCTCAACAATAATAACAAATCACTACAATTTTATATGTTTTCAGTAACATGCCATATACAAAATATCATCTATTCAAGGAGTTCAAAAATATCCTTTGAATTTATCAATAACTGTACCAAACCAATTTTTTAAATTTTATTTTGAGATTCACAATATCGTAACAAATATCATATAAATTAATATATTAGAAAGAAAAATTAAATATTTATAATATTATAAATTTTAAGAAAAAATAAAATAATATTGATGTAATTTAAAATTGTGATATGTAGTCGAATATAATTTCAAAGCGAGGATTTTGGTCAGTGACCATTTAAAAAAGAAATGTGATCTGAAGATGAAACTAGAGCACCAAGTGGTGGAACCATGTTTAGAAAGAAAGAGAGGAGCTTATTATGGATTATGGCTACCTCTTGGTTGCCACTGGAGCATGTACAAATACATTAAACATCCTTGGATGGCTGAAAATTACCAAATCCTGACATTGGTGACAACATTTGAAGGAATGAAGCTGGCAGGTGAAGGTGACGATGAAGATAAACATTATGAAGTAGTCTTAGACTTTTAATAATTCATGACCAATGTTTTGTATGTTCTATTCCTGGATTTTATGTTGATTGTAGAAAGTATTCTAATTATATATTTATGTTTTTATGTACTTTGATATAATTATAGATGTAATATGTACATTTTCGATTATATATTCATTAAATAGAAATTTATTTATATGTTAATTTGTCAGTATTTGTTCATAATGATTTAAAGTGATAAAAAGTATATAAAATTATTGTACATAATGAATGATTTAAAGAGATCACAAATATATAAAATTATTGTACATAAAATATTGTTGATAAAGAAAAGTGTTACTATACCACCTGAAAAGTAATACAATGACAAAAATAAAAATGATACGACTAAGGAATAAAGTGTTACTTTTTAGTGAGAAATGTTGTAAAGAAAATGTTGCATTTGATGAAAAAGTGTTACTTAAAGTGTCACACACAATATTTAACATGTGCCCAATAATTTCACCTTATAGTTATTTGAACTACATCTAGATCCCACATTGCTTAGTTGCTTAATTTGCTATATAGTGATTTATATTCCATTTCAGGGATTTGACCACACATAGGCAAGTGTCATCCACTGAGCACTGAATGTCTAGTAGAATAGATAAAGCATCATCTTTGCTTGATGATCCAGCTTTTGTGGTTACTTGAGCTGCAATCGAATGCCACATATCAAGATTTTTTTTGATTTTGTAACTTTGTGAATTGGATGGGATTGTCAGGAAGAGAATGCTTCATGTTGTGGCAAGATTTTTTTTAATTTTGTAACATTGTGAATTGAATGGGATTGTCAGGGAGAGAATGCTTCATGTTACCATATGATGAGCTTGTAAGGTGTTTTAAGCCAATTGTTTGTACATATGTGATTGATCTGAAGCATACATACAGTGGTTCAGGGCATTTTTAATATTCTTACCCTTCAACTGAATTGAGTTCTCCCGACGATGGCAGGTATCTAATGCAATGGTTGTTGGGTTCCATTATGAACGTCGACTATGTGCATATTCAAATCTATTGAATAATAAATTCTAACGCAGCGGAAGCTATAGTTAGGATCAGGACTTACAGTTTAAAATTTTTTGTCGACTCTAGACGTCTGAGTTCCTCTATAGGATATCGTATGAACTGCAGAGTCCGTTGGGCAGCCGGACCTCATTCATGCATCTCCGGTTGCTCGTCGGGCTCATCGGATTGTCTCGGACCTTCGATAGGTTAGTCGGACTCCTCGGACCGCTTGGGAACCATTTTTATCCTTTTCTATTTATTTATTATGGATTTTGTGTATTTCTAAACTAATAAAAAAAATTACTTGACTTAGGGGTGTATTCATTTGTAATTTTGAGTAACATCTTGAGACTCTTTGAGCTTTGAGATATTATAAGAGCACGGAAATGCTCCCCTACCCACATATGCCCACCGCTTATGTGACATGCACACATTGGTGATGTGTTTTTTTTTGAATTATTAACATCATCAATGTGTGCATGCCACATAAGCGGTGGACATATTAACATGTGCCCACGATGGGTAGGGAAACATTTCCCGATAAGAGCATCCATAATGTTTTGGGCCTAATTTGTTTATATGGCATGTGGAAAGGCTCAAGTCTTGAATAACATGGATAAAATTAGATAAAAGTAACACAATTCACTTAAATGCAAAGAGATCGGGTCTCAACTTGAGTATAAACTCTAGACTTAAGGGTAGAACAAGTCTTTTTTCCTGCTGTTACATCAGCAAGACCCAGTCCACTTGCTCTTGCACTAGAGAATAAATATTTTTAGACTGAGTCTATTTACTATTTGGCATTTAATTTTTTTAAATGAACACAAAGTATTGTGAATGCTCTAAGATTTTAAAATTTAGGAGTACCTATGAAAAAATCTAAAGATGAACGTTGGAGCCAGATCGTGCTTTTTTATTTATTTTTTATTTTTTTAATCTCATCAAATATTAAAGGTTCTAACAAATCTCAATCTCAAATAAATTAAATATCTCAAATTTTGGTAAAACTTTTTAAAATATCAAATAAATGTCTCGAGATTTTAAAAAATCTTAAAAAATCTAAATTAAATGCACTAATATTATTAAAATCTTAAAAGGTTTTTAGACTAATATACATCTTAGTATTTCCAACAAATTTCAATCTGATTTCCTAAAACAAGTTATGTACACTTGGCAACATATAGTAGATTGTAAAATTATAATTTACCTTTAATCGTCCAAACTTGATTTACACGTCGTTTTTTGGTTGCCTAAATCTAAGTCAAAAGTAAACGCACAACAAAATAGCCAGTGTGTGTAAACCAAGACTACTTTTATGCAACGTCTCTGCCTTATACTATTGTCATTGAAACAACGGTCTGATTTTATTTTACCTTGGTTATGCAGTAATCAAAACATGTAACTTATATATTTTTTTATATATAAGAAAATCAGGAAACGCTATTGCAAATTTTTCAAGAAATAGGGGAAAAAAAAAAAAATCTTCACATTTATAATGTTAATAGAATGTCACAATTATTCTTCACATTTCTTTTTGTGCGTGGAGAAAGGGGCCAAGGTTTGTATTTTTGTGTTAAATTTAACATTTTGGACCATTATGATTCGTTATTTTTCAACATGATCTTGAGATATTTAATTCAACGAGGAAGCAAGATTGAAGCTTCTTTTGTAAAATCCCTTGAAATTACTTCTCCAAAAAACTATTGCCAAAATCTGTAATTTGTTTAATTTAATTGATTAATTTCTCCTATTATTGGATGCAGTCTCTTGAAATTTATTTTTCCATGATTTTTATACTTCTGTGGTTTGTAAAATTCTTCCCACTTAGGAGTTATGGACTACGGATGTCTAACGTTTATATTTGGATTTGATCAGCAGCACAAGGCGGAATAAGATAATACTCCCCATAAATTAAAAAAACAAATCCATAAATAAACCCACTACATATAGTCTACATTATGCTAGTACATAATTTTTTTGAATTTTCTATTTATGATCCCATTTATTTATTGCATCTATTTAGCATTACTCTTCTGTGAAATACACACCAGTTTAATTGGTCCCCTTTTATTGTTGATCTCTCTCTTTTTTTTTTTTTTAACTA